CTTCATTGTTTTGGATGCTGTTGTGAAGGGTATGGTTTCTCTAATTTCTCTCTCAGTGTGTTTGTTTTTTGTGTATAGGAATGCTATTGATTTCTGAGTGTTGACTTTGCAGCTACACTATTGAATTTGGTTATTAAATCTACAAGTCTGGTGGAGTTTTGGGGGTCTTCTATGTAGGGTATCATGCCATCTGTGAATAATGATAATTTCACTTCTTCCTTTCTTACCCTATTCCTTTTATTTCTCTCTCTCTCGTCTAATTCCTCTGGCTAATGTTTCCGGCACTATATTGAATAGGAGCGGTGGCAGTGGGCTGGGCTGGACTTTTGGAAGAGAGTAGCTCCTTGGACAGTTTTTTTCCCCTTAAATTAATAAATTAATAACTTAAATTGGCAAATTTAATAATTAATAAATTGGCATCTTATTTTAACAGGTTTTGGGGGCATTGGGGATTGAACCCAAAGTCTCATGGATGCTAAGAATTCACTCTACCACTGAGCTACACTCCTAGACCCTTGGTTGTGATTTAATTGAGCCTTTCTTTTTATTTCTCTATAGTCCAGGCTGACCTAGTACTCACTGTGTAGCCCATGCTGGCCTCAAATGTGCAATCCTCCTGCCTCAGCTCCCTGAGTGATATAAGTGTGAGGCACCACGTGAGTCTTCATGCTTATTTGTTGAAAGTAGATAAAAATGGTTTGCCTGAAAGCGCTTCATTTAGAATTCCAGTGTGGTGTCTGTTTGGGAGGAGGAAGATGGGGAGCCACCAGAACTCATTTGGGTGGGTGGGGTACGGGGGAGGGGTGCGTCTGATAGGACAGGTGTGGGATGAGAATTAAATGCCTTCTTTGTGTGTCTAGGAATGGCCTCAGCATCCAGAGGGCAGGTCTGGGGGCGGGGAGGACTGATCATTAGGGGAAATGATGAGTTTCCCTGTGTGTCCCAGATAGGGGAGAGCAGCTGTCTGTTCTGCTCACCTGAAACCAGAAACGATGCATCCCCCACCTGTATGTCGGGCGGGTGTGAGGTGGAATCCACTGGGTTATTCTGACCAGTGGTGCTGCCTTAGTCACAATCAATCTCCCTCTCCCTGTCTCTCCCTGTCTCTTTCTGTCTGTTTCTCTGTGTCTCTCTCTCTTTTTCTCTCTTTCTCTCTCTCTCTCTCTCTCTCTTTCTTCTCCTTCTTTGCTTCCTTTCAACCTCCCTCCTCTTCCTTCTTCCATTCCTCCTTCTTTTTATTCTGCGTGTACTGGAGATTGAATCCAGGGCCAATTCAATTGAATAATTTAATTTAAGTTTTGAGATAAGGTCTTGCTAAATCACCAGGGTTGCCCGGGATGACCTCAAATGTGTGATCCTCCTGTCTCAGCCTGCCAGATTGCTGAGATGACAACCTTGTGCCACCCCACCTGGCTCCATAGTCTCAATCCTGTTTTCAGTATAATCAAATTTCCTGAACTAGACACCTTTATTATTTTTGTGTGTTCTCTTCCTTTTTAATCAGTTTCCAATGGGTCACTAAATCTTGTTGACTCACTGTCAGAACTGTTCTCTCTTTCTGAGTTCAGATCTTTCTGATCTCTTTCAGGGACAGTTTGTTGTCATTTCTTCATTCCAGACCATTCCTTGTTGTACTGCTAGTAACTTTTCCAAACACAAGGGCTCTTTAAAATGTCTTGACCTAGTGCTTACAAGATAAAATCCAAATCTCTGTTTCGGGAGGACAAGGACCGGGCCATCCGGGTTCACCTTATCCCTAGTTGCCGTACCAATCGCTGTATCTGCACACATCCTTGTACACACCTGTGTGTGAGCTGCCGCCACATGGAACTTAGGTACCCACACACCCAACTTCTGCAGGGGAAGCCTTTCCTCCTCTGCTTCCCTAACCCCTCAGCTCCCCTAAAGTGATTTTCCTGCACAACCCTGCTCACTGGTTAAGAAATTGGTGAATTGACTGTTGGGCAGGTTAGTGCCAGTGACCTGAGCTCCTAGCAGAAGTGTGTGGCTCTTTCCCTGGCAACACACGCTACCCTGAGCTGTAATTCATCTTTTACCCTTGTGGGTCAGGGTGGAGAACATATATATTCTTAGGTACCTTGTATTACCAGTGTGTGGTATCTTCTTTGATATACAGTTGATGTTTAAGAAACTTTGCTTGAGTGGGTGATGGGAGATACCTGCTACACTGCTTGATGCTGCTGTTCCTTCCTCTTTGTATTACAGCAGGACTTGCTTGATAGCTATCCTACAAGTCATTTAAAATAGATTAGTGTTCATTTATTCATTCAGCAAGAATTTATTTAGAAGGCCTACATTGTGCAATTCAAAACTAGCACAGTTGGCACAACTTGAAAATGACCCATTATTTAAATATCAACAGGAAGGCATTCCAGCAAATTCTACTTTCTGATGTAGCCAAGGTCAAGAGTGTGGGTCTCTAAATTAGATAGACTTTTCTTGAAACTCCACTTGCATGCGTTGCAAGCTGTGGGATCTTGGCAAATTATTAAATAATTAGCCATCAAGGAGCACAGTTTACTTATCTGTTTTTTTTGTTTTGTTTTGTTTTGTCTTTTTTCCAGTACCGGGAATTGAACTCAAGACCTTGCGCTTGTCAGGCAGGCACTGTGCTGCTGAGCTAAATCCCCAGCCCCACTTATCTGTTTTAAAAAGGGCAATTGTGCCAATTATGAGGTTGACAGCACTAAATAAAATCATGCATATAAAATGACCAGAACTGAGCCTTGCAGATAGTAAGCATTCTTAAATAGTGGTAGTTATTGTTTTTCCTTATTATGGGAAAAATATGTATGATATATCAAAAATGTAGATAATTTTGGAGAGAAAGGCAGAGGGGAAGGGCTCTGTATAAACTTTAAAATACCTCCTTGAAATAACTGCTGCTTTCAACCCTGCTTTCCTAAAGGATTGGATTTTACTTTGTCCCCTTTACAGGAGCAGTGAGAGCCCTTTCAGAGCTTTGAGCAAAATGTGCACACAATCCCAGAAGCAGCCCTATTTGGGGATTTTTGAGACAAGAGTATTTGTCACTCTGATTTAGACGACTGATGCTTGTAATTTTAAAAAATTCAAATGTTAAGAGAAGTATTTTATTATGTTGTAGTGCTGTGAGTCAGGAAAATAAACGCATCAATACCCAAAACCATCCACCTGTGTGGATGACGTTTTCCAGACAGGATCACTGGTGCCGGTCAGGTCCTGCTGCGCTCTGACTGCTTTCACGTGAAAATGTGCAAAACCAGACCCAGCGCATCCCTGGGCTCAGGGAGTCGCGTCTGTGTTACTCTGTACAAACGTTCTCTCAGCGTGTTTTCCCACTTTGTTTCTAGGTCCGTCCTTACTGGATTGTGTGGAATAAATACTGGATAGTGCAAGTTAGAAATAAGCTCAACGAGTTTTATCAAATGACATCAGAAGCGAAAAGAGATTTGCAAGAGCTCCACTTTCCTAAACAGAGATGTTAGTGGACACCTCCTAGGGGTAAAGATAGCGGACATAAGGGATGGAGATGGCAAGTGAAGGACATCAGAGGCAGTGGCGGTTGTGATGAAGCCGTGTGACAGATGTGCTCTGACTGTGCTTCCTGCCAGCCTGCTTTTCTGCTTGATCTGGTGAAATGCATTATCAAAAATACCTGATCAGGTTGGGCACACAGTTTGGTGGTAGTGTTTGCTTCACATGCCTGAGGCAAGGGTTAATCACAGCACCATCAAAAAGTAAATAAGTAAATAGTCTGCTTATTGCTTCATGTAACATAGAGTAAATATTCAGTATACACATTTTTTTTTCTATAACAAAGTTATACAACAAAAAGAAATTTCTTTTATACAACAAAAGAAATTGAAGTCATCCATAGAAAGATAAAAATAGACGTAAGGTAAATTAAAACAGCTATTAAACTCTGATTTTTTTCTTTTCTTTTTTTTGGTTTTGGTTTTTCTCCGGTACCGGGAACCGAACTCACGACCTTGCGCTTGCCAGGCAGGCGCTTTTCCGCTGAGCTAAATCCCCAGCCCCCTGATTTTTTTCTATTGAAACCGTGAAAGTTATTCAAACTTTCAGTTCTCTGACTCTATCTTTCTTTTATCTTTTTGTGCTAGTGGGGATTGAACTCAGGGCCTTGGTCCTGAGCTATATGGCCAGACCTTTTTTTTTTTAATTTTGAGGCAGAATATTGCTAAGTTATACAGCTGGCCCTGATCTTGTGATCCTTCTGCCTCAGCTTCCTGAGTAGTTAGTGTTACAGGTTTGTGCCACCATGCCTACCCAGAAACCTCCGCTTTTGTTTTGTTTTTTTGAGACTGGGTCTCACTGTGTAGCCAGGCTGCTCTTGAACTCACAGAGATCCTCCTGTTTCATTCTCCAGAGTGCTGGGATTACAGGCATGTACCACCACCCTGGTTTCAGAAAGCTGTTTTTAAATAGATTTTAAAAATTCTACTGTTCAGGGAGAAAGCAAAAGTTTTAACATACACTGTCTTCCTTCCATGTCTGCACATTTGCCATGCACTGGGAATGCAAAGGGGGGAGAACCGTTATCAGCAGCTGCTGTTTAGCAGAAAGTCCAAGGGACAAAATGCTGCCCTTCACTTGCAATCTCCATCCCTTATGTCTGCTATCTTTACACCTCAGCGGTGTCCACTAACATCTCTGTTTAGGAAAGTGGAAGGTCTTGCAACTCTCTTTTCACTTCTGCTGTAATTTGATAAAACTCATTGAACTTATTTCTTCTAACTTGCACTATCCAGTATTCACACCATCCAGTAAGGAAGCAGTATGGAAACATGCTTATGTTTCCGTAACGTTTTAGTTTGAAAGTAGTATATAATTTAGACACCAGAATTCTGTCTGAGATATTTTACAACACTTTTTTTTGCATGAAAAAGTATGTTTTTGTGTGATGACATGCCCATAACCATTAGTCACATATTTTAGTTGCAGTCTTTTTGTTGAAAATGTTTTTGTATTTCTTCTAGAACAAAAGACTGAAACTCCTTTGTAGTGAGTTAAAAGGAAAACATGAAGTCTCAGAGCTGCAAATATCACAGAAATTGACGATCTACAGAAATCAGTTGCAGCAGAAAGAGGTAACGGCTGTTACATTCACTTCGTACTTATTTCATTATTATTTTTAGATCCATAAAATTATTGAAGTTAATAAAATCAGTGAGATTTGCTATTAAGTTTCTATGATATAAACTAATCTTGGAGAAATTAATTTCTCTATTTAATAGAATAGCTTTTATGTAAAATATCTTAAGACATCTGCTGTGGGTGGTGTTTACGTTTGTGTTTTGAGATGGTCTTTTCTGTAGTGCAGTGTGGTCTTTGCTAATGACATGTTTAATTTAAAAATTTTTTTTGCATACTGGCCACTGAACCCAGGATTTTACCCTGAGCTACATCCTAAGCCCTTTTTGTTTTTAGCAGGGTCATGCTAAATCACCCATGCTGGCTTTGAACTTGAAAGCCTGCCCCATCACCTTAAGTAGCTGGACTACAGGAAGGCACCACCATGGTCAGCTCTGAAAGTGCTTTGACCACAAGTGTTGGTATTTGTTATACTGCCCTGTAGTTGATTTTTTGTGGAATAATACTATTAGCATGATGTAATTGACCTAGTGTTTTACAATGTTCTGTTTTCTTTTTAGTTTGATTGAAATTGTTGTTTTGGAATTGTTTTGTTTGTTTGTTTTGAGACAGTGTCTTTTAGGCTGGCCAGTATTTTAGGCTGGCCTTGAACTCACTGTCTAGCCCAGGACACTCAGCAATCCTCCTGCATCAGCCTCCCAAATGCTGGGATTACAGGCACGAGTCACCACACCAAGCTCAATGTCCTAATACAGTGTACTAGGAAGTGGCTCTGGGTAATTCGCGGAAGCCCTATTAGGTGCTTCTGATTTCTACCCCAAAATGGAAACAATGCTTTGAAAAATTTTGGCATTTTATCTTCTACTTAACTGTTGATATTAGAGGACGTGTGAAGCATTCAAGTTTAGAAATGATTTTTCTGTTGTCTGCAAAGCTTGTATTGCTGTAGCTCTACGACTTGGTATAAATGTCTCCTGTAAGATGCCAGCTTTTTGTGTTGTAGCTACATCTGAAAAAATATGAACTTCAGTTATTCTTACTAGGATAAAAGATAATACATAATTACAGTTTTGATACTTTCTGAATCTTTTTGGTGCTGTTATTATGATGCTTGTAGTCCCCAAAGACACTATCTATCTCCTATTATTTTGGGGAAATGGATGAAGTCTGAGTAGTATAATAATAATATATAAGAAGAAGCACGAATCAGAAAGCCCTGTTCTGATATTCAGCATAAAAGAGATTCGGTTTTGTTAGTCTGCTGACTTAGCTGTACACGTGCAGAAATATGCTGCGTGTTTCCTGTCTCCCAGGTGCTACATGGTCGTCTGTTGGTTCGAGTGTCTTATGGATTTGTTGGAGTTCCTGTCAGTCTGTCTGGATCCCTTACTTTGTGATCTCAGCAGGTTTCATGAAAAATGGACGTGGCATCATAGAGCTCCTGTGCTCAGAATTTCTTTTGGGCTATGACTTGCTTTTGCAGATGTCAAGTCAAAACTATGCTCAGGATTTCAGAATTTATCTGCTATTCTCTCTCCAAACAAATTTGGATTTTCTGTGGCTCATCTTTGCTGATGTTAAAGCCGGACCCTCTTTCAAACCAGTACAACGGCATATGAACACATGGTGGATGAACGCTTTTGTTTGTGAACAATTTGTTTTGCCAACAGAAGTGCTTGACAAAATTTTTTTTGGTTGGGAGCTCTGTATCGGGTAATAAATACAACCCTGGCCATCTTTCCTGCATGAATATGAAAGTGGCCATCTATGCCAGAATTGTTAAGTGAATTAAGTTTGTGAACCTAGGTACCACTAAGTTTTCTTTTCTGATTCTAGGGATTGAAGCCAGGGCCTCGGCACTGAGCTGTAACCCCGACCCCTTTTTTATTTTGTCATTTTCAGACTAGGTTTGATGAAGTTGCCCTAGCTGGGTTCAAACTGGCAATCTTCCTGCCTCAGTCCCCAGAGGGCTGGAGGGCAGGTGTGCACCACCATGCCCAGCTCTATTATTTTCTTCTGAGACTCTAGCTAATAACCATGGGCACACTGCTTTATCCTATCCAAAAAGATGGGTTTTATAAATCCAAACAGTCTTCTAGGTGCATTGTGCAGGTCAGTACCATGGTACCCTGATTCCCGGTGCACCTGAAGCCTAAAACCCGTCGTCCCCAGTCCAGGAGACCGTCCTGCAGTAGGTGCTCTGAGGAGTCTCCTGACTGCATAGACTCACAGGACTTCACTCGCTCCTGTCAACAAGAAATTAACCATCTGGGGTTCAGAAACTACATGCAAACAAAAAAGTATTCCCAGGTGATTCTGATCATCCGAACCACACAGTGTAAGAAACATTGCTTAGGATAAGAATTTATAGGAAAGAGGCTGGCTTTGCTATGTTCACTTCAGCGCATGTTGAATGCCTCCTAAATGGCAGATCCATATTGTGGTGTAAAAGAACAAAATGCATAACCTGGAGTTTTTAGGGGGTTTAATTTTCTAGGAAGTCACCATAAAAATCAATATTTGTATTATATTTTGTAAGGGGTTTCCATCTAAATTACCCCTACATATGTATATTATATTATTCTTAATAACCATGTGCAGCATTTATTGTCTTTACTTGCAGATAAGGAAACTAAAAGTTATTATCCACTGAGTCAGTGATTAAGTTATGATTCAAATACACATCTCTTAACTCCAAATCCTGTGCTTTTTCCTTTGTTCTGTTTTTTTAGCTTGAGAGCAGCGTTTGTCTCATTAACATTTTATCAAGTAAATATGTCTAAAGGAGGACGAGTGCTTATTAGAGCCCTGGGTGGGCAGTGGGGAGGGAGGGTGGGGGCTTCTGTCAGTGTGTACAAAACTGTAGTTAGTTGGAGGAAATCAATTCTGGTGTTCTTTGCTCAGTAGAGTGATTACGGGTAATAAGGTGTTTTTCAAAATAGCAAGAAGAAAAAATTTTGAATGTTCTCACCGAAAGAAATGATAAATATTTGAGATGATAATGTTAATGACTCTGATTTAAAAATAGCACAACATCCCCATGAATTGATGCATTACTTTATGTGCAAGATCCCTCCAAACATGGTTACTAGGTTTCAGTCAAGAAGTGTTTACAAAGAAAGTACAGAATGAGAAGAATCCAGAAAGTTGTTATTTTCTTGTCAAACCAAGTAGTATTCTATCGTGAGATAGAGAGGTTTTCAAAATTATTTTGAAGAGATTTTTACTGTATAATTTATAACATTAGAAACTTTCTTTTAGAAAGTAGCTTGATTATCCTCCTATTTACATGTTGTTGTGCTAAGTAAAATATTCTGCATTTGTCTATCTTAATTTTAGTTATTTTGTAAAATTATTGCTCTCCAGTCAGTTAACTAATTCTTGAATCTGGCAGCTTTTATTTGTTGTGTATTACTCTGTAATGGACTGGGCTTGGTATTCATGAATCAGAAAGTAGGAAATGCCTTTTTTTTTTTGGAAAATTAGCTACTAATAAAGTCTGTGACCTTTTGTTTTGCAAGAATGTTAGTGCAATTATTTTCTCATTCTCTTTTTTGAAATTTGTAAGGCACAGGGAGCACACAGCTCTGATGGAGGTGAAATCTACAAAGTGCAGTGTATCATCAAGGTGAGTCGGACTGCTGATTGCCAGGGCTGGCTGTGCCTCTAATGTCTTTGCATTAAAAGGCCTAAATTAGTAAAGGTCTCAGTGACAAAAGGGCTTCCATATACTACAATACCCAGTTTTTATCTGTTTTGAGTCCTCTTTATTTCTTATGAGAAGAAAATACATAAAAGTATTTTGTTGGGTGTCCCTCATCTATAACACAGCTATTTAGGATGCTAAGGTTGCAGAATGGAAACTTCAAGTTCATCTTGGGCAACTTCATGAGATCCTGTCTCAAAATGAAGTGAACTAGAGGTGTAGGTCAGTGCTAGAGGCCTCAAATAGCATATATGAGGTCCTGAAAGACAGTACTGTAGAAAATTAAAATAAATACATTAAAATGTCTCTGTTTCCAAAATCATTGGAAAGACTCTATTGTAGATCATGAAGCTGCCTTAATTGAAACAGAATTCCAAGCTTGGTGAGGTTTCCAGATTTCAGGGTTGAAGGATAAGGACAAAATAAAATATAAATATTATTCATGGTAGTAATTATTTTACTTTAGTTGTAGCATTTTGCTTCTTTCTATCAATTATTTCTTTTAAGAAAAGTCTTATATTTAGTGTTTTTCATGGATTATTTTTAGTATTGAAATTATGGTTAGCTAAGGGGCTGAGGATTTAGCTCAGCGGCACAGCGCCTGCCTGGCAAGTGCAAGGTCATGTGTTCGATTCCCGGTACCGGATATAAAACAACAACAAAAAAAGAAATTATGGCTAGCTATAGCATTTTTGGTGTTTGGGTTCACTATCATTATAATGTTACTGTGGGTAAGTTCTCCAGTCAGATCTTAGTGTAAATCATGGCTATCCTGTTTACCTGTTGTGTTCCTTTGGGCAAGTTACCTGACCTTCCCTATTTTCTGTTTTAGGAATAAGCATCCTAATAGCTACTTTATAGGATTGTTTCAAGGTTTAAATGGAAAGTGCTGGTGCAGGAGTGCATAGGATTGAACATACATTTGACTCATCACCTCAGAAAATAGCAGCTAGAGGCCAGGGATGTAGCTCAGTG